AAAAACTAGTCCGGACTGCAAGGTCAGGCTGGTCCGACCGGCGACCAAAACTCTCTTTGAGTCGGTGGACATAATTTACTTGCTTTGCTAGTTGAATCGTTCTAAGTCATTTTAAGCCGGCGCTTAAACCAGAAGCTGGTGTTAGCTCGAAATCAAAATGGTTTTGCAAAAAGATTTGTCTCTTAACATGTAAAATATATATCAAAATGATTTAAATTTAAATAAAACAACCCAAAAAGTATTGACTAAAAATTTTACACAAGCGTGAATCACATAATTTTTGGTATCCCTATTGCTCCCAATTAGAGGGTAAAGTTAAAAATATTATCCATAGATTCTATATCAATGTATTAATATATGCTTTTTTTTTCCTTTGACAACCAATGTATTAATACACATACATAAATAAATTCAGGAAAAAAATACCTCTAGTCTTTGATTTTTAAGTCAATTTTATTAAAAAGTAAAAAAATTAGATAAGTTAATTTTTACTAAAATACTGTCTTTTGTCAACCATTAGTTCTTAATATAAAAACGAATAATTAATTTATTAATATTAAAAATTAATTAAGATAATTATTTATATCAAATATTTTTTAAATTACCTTAAATTAGTTATAAAAGAATATAGACCATCCATGAAAACTTAAAAGGACAAAAAACAAAAGAAGGAAATCAGTAACGTTTGGCATGCCGATGAGCAGTGAAGTTTCGTTTGGGTATTGCGCATTAAACATTGTCCTTGAGGATGGCGACAGGAAGCGCATAGGAACGCGACACGTGGTAGAGAAAGTATCGTTATTAACGTCAAGGTGGCAGGGAGTCGTGAGAAGGGGACACGTGTCAGGAATGATTGGCGGTGAGGCCGTGGCAGCAGAAGACAGGTCATACGTCTCGGCTCGTCTCGCACCCTTCCCGTCCTCTTCGTTCTGGACTCCTCTCACCATGTGGTCCCCTTACCTCTCGCCTCGTGGATCAGTTTGCTTTGCTCCTCAAAATTATTTAGCGAAATTTATTATTTAAGCTATCTTAAATTTATTCAAGGACTTAAAGTACTAAATTGTTCATATGGTTAATGGTCTAATCACATGTATTTTATATAAGTCACTGTAAATACACTAACTTAGCAAAAAAATTTAATTTTACCCTTATTAAAATTTTATTTCTCTCTACATCTATAAATAATTTTTATATTTCTTCCCTATTTCTCTCTTATCAATAAAAATAAAATAAGAATAAAATTAGAAAACAAGTACTCCTCCAGTTCTTAATATAAAATTTATTTAACTACTTTAATTAAATTAAAAAAATTAGTTAAATTAGATAATAATCATAAATATGGCATATATTTTTCAAAATATTCTCAGTTAAAACTTCTTTAAAAAACTGACATCTCAAAAAATGTTTTAAATTATTTTATTAAAAATATAAAACGGTATAATTAATGTATATGTGGAATTAATGAGTAATATAGGTATATTATTAATGAGTAATAAGTATTATTGTGGTATTTAGGGATAATTTAGGAAAGAATTACTCCCTCCGTTCCTTATTATAAGAAACAAATAACCGAAGTATGTTGATCAAAAAAACAGTTAAAGTTAGTTAAGAACAATCAATGTATAAAAAGTATAATTTTTTTTCAAAAATGCCCTCATTAATAAGGAGAGAGAGTATGAGAGAGAACAATTAAATTATTAAAAAAAAGAGAAATGGGAGGGAGAGAGAGTGTGAGTTGGAGATAATAAATATGGGTAAAATAGTAAATCAACGCAAAAAAGTAGAGACAACTTGTAAGTGTCTCTTATATATAGGAACATGGCATAAACATCAAGTGTCTCTTATAATAAGGAACAGAGGGAGTAGTAAATATAATAAATAGGTTTTATATTTAGAAGTAAGATCAGTCTTCTAATCAGGGCATATATTAAAGAGCAAGGGAATATTAAATATACAACAGATGACTTTTAGGACCAAAACTTCTTCCTACGAGCGGTTTACATTTAGAGCTAGAGAGGTAAATGCTTTTTTTTTTTTAAATAATTGGTAGGTTGCAAGTTTAATTCTGATTAGTACCTATTATTCTAATTAGAAAATGGATTCGTGAAGTAATTGCGATTTAGCAGGTGCCAAGCATACTCCAAAGAAGATTAAGATAAATTACATTTACTCAAGTATATGAGCCCTTAGGTACTTTTGGGCAGCACATTTTGTAGTAGAAAACTTTTGGCAATTTTCTAAATTATTTATTTGATATTACCTTGTATATAAGAAGTACTCCTCTGGTCCTTAATATAAGACCCAATTGTTGAGTTTAGTTTAGTTCTAAATATAAGACCCATTTATCATATTTATCTATTTTCTCTAAACTACCCCTATGGATACTCCATCAACCATAATCAAATAGAAGAGGGATATGAGGTATTAAGAAAGATGATTATGGTGTTTTAGGAAAAATGTGTCATTTTTCTTATAATTAACCAACTTACCTAATTTCCTTAATCTAATCAAATTAGTTAAATGGGTCTTATATTAAGGACCGGAGGAGTAATTTATTTTCAGCCGGTGCAATTTTTAACCTGTCTTTAATTACGTGTAAAATGGAATTGGATACTTTGAAGAAGAGTCGTATCAGTTGAAGATAAATAGCATTGGCCCAAGTACCTGAATCGTTAAGTATTTTCAGTAATTTTTTTTCAGCTTATTTATTTAATTTGATTTTCAGATTTAGTATTGGAAATAAAAGCTTTTATTTTTTTTTTTGGGTCTGGGTCCGTCGAAGAAATTTCTAGATTGAAAAAACATTTGAAAAATTAGTGAACCACAGACAAAGGTCCGAATCTTCTTTATGGCTTTTAAGCCACAAGTCATGCCATGCCATTATTATGATGAATCATGGAGCGTAAGAAGGAACTTTCTTAGCAAATATCTCTAAAAAATAATAATTTAAACTCTGTTATTTAATTAACTGTGCCTTTCACTTTCAAGAAACACAGGCAATGAATGGGAAAACATAGTAAGAAGCAATTACTAAGAATTAAACAAATGTTATTTCCTGGAAAAATCTTCAGTCGGCCGATCTTATCTGTAAAAAGCAGACAAACCCGCCATGAGTACTGCTAATTAAAATATTAAAACAGTCATAACAAGCTTTTGATTAAAATATTCAAAATAGTAGTTACAACAAGCTTTTTATTGATTGATTGATTTATTTATTTATTTTGACGATTTTGATTTTAAAACTTGGTGGGAGTTGGTTGGCTGTAGGGTTTATCACTTTGAAATGGTTCCACTTGCAGATAACCATGTCTTTTCTTCCAAATAAAGCCTAAAGTAATGATCATTTGGATTTATTATGAACAATATTAGTTGAGAGTAATTGCTTAAGCTCCAAGTCCTTTTTTTGGCTACTATTTTTTGTTTTTTTCCCCCATATTTTCCAAAATGATCTTTCTGCCTGCATACTTCCAAGCAGGACATGACAATATTGGAATATTATATTTATATCACTGGGGACTCAAAATTGGAAGGTAACCTTTATTTCTTTAATAATGGGGAAAAGGTTATCAGCGGGGTTGGGTCTAACAAAAAGGGTTAGTCTCCCACAATATGATGAACCAATGTTTGAATCCCCGCTGAGAGAGGTACTTATATTTAGTACCCAAAACCCAATAGTGCTTGGAATATGATTGTTTCTAATAGAAGGATATCTATGCTTTAGCAAAAAAAAAAAAAAAAAGGGAAAAAGGCTGGGGACACTTGCCCAAATGTTTAGTATGTAATTATGGATTATTGTAAACAATACTCCAAAAATATGATATATACTCCATTCTTAATATAAGAGCTACTTTATTAATTGGAGTAAACTAAGCGAGTTAGATAATTTAATTAATTATAATAAATACTACATGATCTCCTTAAAATACTCCTATAGAATATTATATTATATTATATATTAATTTATAAATTAGGTAAATTAGTTTGAAAAAATTATAAATATGAGTGACTAATAGGATTGAGATGTTACATTTAAAATATTATCTCATATATTAAGCACCAAGTGGAGTATATATTTTTAACGTGATCCAGTTGGAGACAATTTTCTTAATTATGATAAGATTCTTATAAGAGTATCATATGAGTCCCAAAAAATTCTGGGTCTGCTAAATCTTAAAAGAGCCTTCAGTTTTTTCCTTCAAATTAATTTATTTTAGGTGATTTCATGTTATAAAAATAAATATGAGATAGAAGTTTTGTAGTCTAAAACACACCCAAAAAAAAAAGAAAAAAGAGTTTATTATGACGGGGCACTAAAACGGATGATCCAGTTTGGGATCACAGAAATGATGGGCCCAACACAAAAACACAGCACAGAGGTGTCCGCCTAAGTTTTGCCTTCCTACAAAACACTCGCTGGAAATGCATATGCAACATGTTTGATTCTTTCAAACATCTTATATAATGCTGCCTAATCTTGCTAATAAAAACAAAGTGCTAACTATAAATGTATAAAAATATAGTTGAAACCAATAATTTCACATTTTTGTTAGGTATCTATTTCACTGAAAATAATGTAGTCTTGCCAGATAGATTGATGCTACATGTTCAACAAGCAACTCAGCACATCAAGGAAATTCCTCATCTTATATTTGAATATTAAATACAACCTCATCCTGGGCATAATTCTGATTAATGAAGTTTATTTAATGTAATTTAAAGTTTTGAAAACATTAACTGATTTAACTAAATTTCTCATTCTCTGTAAATTTGTTAACGAGTCCTTATTGGGGAGGAAGTACATCTTTATTTAACTAACTTATTTTTGAAAGTTCTGTTTAACATAGCTTAGCTCCATTTATTTCATTTCCTGTACCTAACAATATTGCCTTCAAGCTTCCTCATAGTTGATCCAACCCTCACCGTCCTTGACATAACATAGAGGGATGCAAATATGTACCATTCATCCAAGGAAAAGAAACATCTATATCTATATTTATATATATAAAAAAAAAACATATTTATGGACAATAGCGATTATCAAGAGTATATAGCAGATATCAGACTCCTAAAGCACATATAAATACAGGCTTTTGAATATTTGAAGCAGGTGCAGTAGTAGTGAAACAGCAAAATCAAATAGCAACCAAGTGATTGTTTGTAAATAATACAGAGCTAGAAGGTGGTGTGATCATCTTCAAGCAATTAAGAGTCGGAAAGCAAGGGGATTTCCTCTGTGGCTGCCTTGCATGCATGAATCACAGTGCATATATCTTTTGTCTCCAGAAACTTCTCTGCATTCATTAGGATCACTGGTCCATACTCAAATACCAGCTTCTTGCACTGCAAATATAATTAGATATTAATGAAAGTGAAAAATCTATGAACTGGTAGAACTTGACTGCAAAAATCATTGGATATGCTTCGCTTAGATTAATATTATAAGAATCTCAGTTTGGTCCCTCTTGTTTTAATTGAATCATTCTAATGTTTAGAAATATGCAATCAATCAAGCCAATTTCTTTACTCCTTTACTCCACTCCACTCTATAGTCATTAGGTAAATCCAAAGATTTTACTTACCTTCCTGGAATACTTCTCCATGGAATTGCACACCTTCAGAAATGCCTCAATTATCTCCAGCTGTCAAATATACATAAATTATTAGTTCTTGTAGTTTGTACAACGAAAAGTAACTATCATCCACGCAAGCTGTCAACAACACACCTCTATAAATCATGCTACGCTTTCAGGGAATATTTTGCAGAATATTTCAGTATATTCACAAAAGCAGACATTAAACATGGGTTTCTAGTTATTTACGCCCAAACCATAGGCAGGAATTTTCTTAAATCAACAAAGCATAATTTCAAATAAATACTCCATGCGATGAGTATAAACCTAACATGCAAGTAATTGAACTGAGCTGACAAAATCATATGAGCCTCTCTTCTTGTTCCAATCCAGTTCACCAAAACAGCAACTTGGGCTCTCAGAACCGGAGCCCATTTTGAATAGAAATCAACCCTGTCCAGCCCACCTAAGTAGTTGGTTAAACAGGGCTGAGCCAGGCCAGGCCAATGTGCCAAATTGGACTGGGTCAAGAAGCCAGGCTGACCCATTTTAACTCATCCATGATTGAGCCACACAGCAACCATCGAAGCTGTTGGGAAAATTAGAAAAGCGCGGAACTTGAAAGTGTTCAAAAATTAGGCTCATATCAGAACAGACAAGATAAATTTTCACACCTCATACCCCCCAGCAGAAGATACTACAAACCTGAGTGTCAGGATCCTCCAACTTATCCATTAATTCTGATACCGCTTCTTTGCAGAATCCACAGCTATCTTGTTGCACTTTTGAAGAAATAATTGCAATTTTCTCACAGAGATTAACCTTTTCGCAGAATTCTTCAGGCTGAATTGATTCCAGCTCTAAGAAGAATAGGGGAGCATAGTAGTCGACCAAAGAGGTGCACTGTGCAATACAGAAGAAACAAAACGAGTACTTAGTGCGTGATAAGTTCTCATTCGTTCATCTATTCACACTTTAGGTTCTAAGCAGTAAGAGGTTCTGTAAAAAAATTGGTTGTTATTCAGTGAATGATTTGCAGTCCATCCCCAATAGGGTAAAAGGGATTGCTTGTTGAATGTTGAAGTTCATAATAGGAAATCATAGTCAGCTTTCAATACAACTGATAACAAACTTAGGCATCTAAAGAGAAAAATCCTTTACCAACCTGCTGTTCAAAGGACTGCAGCTGGTGGCAAGTATTGTGAAGGTAATCCATGATCTCTCCCTGGGTTTTGTTTTCTTTTAGGTATTCAAGTGCCTTGGCACTATATTCCTCACAAAGTGTACACACATCTGGTTTCCTGGTTTGTTCTGCGTTTTAGAAGATATGTAAAGAGGATGAGCTACTCATACATCACTAGTAATTAATATATATATATATATATATTATATAACACTAATGAAATGAGACATTCGTGTGTACGTGTATTCAATAAGCAAAACATCAAAAGATACGAAAATTGTTTTTCAGTTAATTACATTTTCCTCTCTGATCTTATGAACTGGGAGTCCTGGTAATCCTCCCAGATTTTAATGGGAAAGTGTTGCAATTTTATGATCTGACATCTCACATGCTAAAATCACCTATAGGAGAGTAGTTAAGAGTTATTATGCATCTGCGTTTGGGCATTAGGCATTTTGGGTCAATTGGCATGTGTTATGGCTTGAAAAGGTTAGGCTTTTGTGTATTACTTATTGTAAAGTTTACGAGGAAAACGAAAAGAAAGGGGTGTGGAAGATATTCTCAAGCATCGTATCAGCAGGCAACTTTTTTTTTTACAGTTGATATTTCATTTGACGGTATTATTCAATGTAACCCATCTAGTCACTGTTCTGGTTTCCATCACCCAAGAATTGAAAAAAAATCATCATCCTCGAATCTGTCAAAGCATTTCAAGCAACAAGTTTCGATGGAAATAATATTTAATAAGGATTAAAAGCACATAACCAGCAATTCTGGTGTGATGGATATATACCAGGGAAAAAAATTATCTCATCAAAGAACCAAGGAAGAGTAAACATAGAAGTTAGAACTTGACATTAACCTGGAAATGACGTTTTGAAAAATTCTAAAAATTTTATATGCAAATTTAACATGTTGAGTCATGCCTAATATGTGTGCTCAACATGAATTAGTAAAAAAAATGACCACTTTTTTAAAGTGTTCATGCCTCAACCGAGAGTTGAGATGACTCGTGAAAAATTTTGCATAATCTTAGTGGATGACATACAACAATATCAAACCCTTGCCCCTTTTGTTTTTCACATCTCGGATATTAAACTATCGTTTAGATTGCTGCAAAATTTCTTGGAACAGAAAACTCCAGAATGTCATTCCTAAGAAAGTGATCAGACATGGGAATTTTTCACTCGTCATGCAACATAAACAAATGCTAACAGATCAGGAAAACTTAAAAAGCAAGCAAAGAACATAATGAGGACAATTAACGATTTTACTCTAAGAATCAGAGTTTGCAATGTTACCACTCAAAAGATCAGTATTAGCCAATTCTCTGGCATGACATGCCCAAGCAGCACCCAAGATAACTAGAAACAAGATCCCCATTCTCCTTTCCATGATGCCTGGAACAACCACAGAGTGCTAAGTCAACTTTCAAGTAGGGAAGAAAAAAACACTTAATGAAAATTTAAGGGAAATTACAGGATAAAACATAAAAACAGAGGTAACAACTTCCTGACATGTATATATTGAACTTCGATGACATTCAAGGTGTACAGGATGACCGAAAACCATATCACAATATCATTCCAAAGATGTGGTGTAAAGATCGAATCACCAACACAATCCTATTATAAGAATAACCTATAGATTTCATGTCCAACCCCTCGAGTGCACAAGCCTGCCCTGAGAACGTACGAGATGAGACTACTTGACCTAATCTATCTCATCAGGTCATCATTATAGAACTTTGTCCAACTATGAAATCAATATGCAGTTCAATAGGTAGGTACGGCATATTGTAAAGTGAGTTGATAAAATCAAATAAAGCAAGTACTTGCCCAAAATAAACGCAGCTCAAGTTTCCTATAATCAATCAGCGACAGATTTCATAGTTTAACCAACAAGCAGGCTAGAACTGTTGAGAGATAGGTCAACAGCATGTTCAATACAGGTAGAGCAGTCACAAGTATGACTGAACTATGATTTGTTAACATAATTAATCAATTAATTCAAAGGCTAGTAGCATTAATTTTGAGGCCAATAACACATGAAGCCGATCAGCAGAAGGAATTGATGTCAGGTGAACAAGATTCGCACAAGTCAACCATAACCATACAAGCATGAAGCCAACCAAAAAATAACGCGGAAATATAAATAAGATCGAATTGGAATTAAATTACAAGGGAAAAATATAAGGGGGCATGGAAATTCATAAACTTGAGCATCAGAATTGTAAGCGAGGGGTAAAGTTCCTATTTTTGGGCAGATTTTCCCGGGAAACAAACCAAGCTAAAACTTAGAACACAAGAGAAAAGGGTTACCTCTATTAAAAGATGAGATACGGAAGCGGAAGAGAAAACCACCTGGATTCAAAGAGAAGTGAAGAAAATAAAAAGGCCGGGCAAAGAGACTATTTTCTCTTTGAACGTTTGTTCCTTCACCTGCTTGTCGTGAAGAAGATAGAGTTCGCTACTGTGCGGGAAGGCCCACAATAGTAGTATTAATTGGTCTCATCATATGGCCACGTGGCACTATCAAGAAGGTAATCACAGAACAAATGTCAGGGTTTCTCCGAATGTGCAAACAGGATTGGATTATTCATGGGGAAGCTTCATCTGGTACGAAAGAAGGAGCTGGAAGATCGACAAGGCAAGGCATCGATTCAAATGGGATTTTTTTTTAAGTAATCGATAAAAATATAAAACAATTTTGTTGAGATAATAATCTGAGAATGATTTTCTCCCCTTTGTCTTGAGTTTTGATCCTGATTTTGTAGGGCATTGAATCTTATCTTCCAGTTAGTTGAGTTTGAATTTAAATTATTTTTATAGATATGAAACTGATTGAACATATCCAAAAACAAAAAAAGAAGAAGAAACTGATTAGGATAGAAAAGCCACAAAAATAGCTAAAAAACTGTTAGATTAATATCCACAACTAGTTGACTAGCAGAAGGTAGGTGTGCGCGTGTGTTTCTGTTTTGAAGCAATAATAATCTAACATTGGATTTTTTTTTGAGCTGAAAATTTAATGGGAAAAATTCTTAAAAAATACTGTTAAATTTTAAAATTCTAAATCAGGAATTATAATAAAAATATTTTGTTATTTATTTTTTGAATATAGATATTTTTTTACGAGTGTAGTAATCAATAATAATTTAAACTTTTCAAATGTAATAGTCATTGTTTTGGGGATTTTCCCAATCTAATATTAGATGTTATTAGCATACATTCAAGCATTAAACTTTGTGAGTGTGGGGAAAAAACTAGAAAAAAAAATTGTGGCGTTAATAAATACTAGTTGTGGCCAAATAAATAAATACTAGTTGCATAAATATACTAAAAATCAATCTTTTGAGCCATTAACATGTTAAAAAACCATTTAATCTAAATCACCATATTTATTACTCTTCCGGTCTTTAATATAAGACTTATTTAACTAATTTGATTAGATTAAGAAAGTTAAGTAAGTTAGTTAATTATAGGAAATATAATATATTTTTCCTAAAATACCATAATCATCCTTTTTAATATCTTCCTTCTCTCACTTATTTGATTATGGTTGAGGGAATATCTATAGGGTTAATTTAGAAAAAAAAATGCTAAATATAATAAATAGGTCTTATAGAAATACTCCTCCGGTCCTAATTATAAGACCCAATTGACTTATTTGAGGAGATTAAGGAAGTAAGTTAAGTTGGTTATTTATAATAAATAAGTGTTGTTATTCCTAAAATATCCTTGCTAATTAAGTATATTGGCTAAAACTATCATTATTAGAAGGATTATCTTGGAAAAAAATACATAAATATAAGAGAGAAAATGGATTGGGTCTTATAATTAGGACCAAATAAAAAGTCAAATTGGGTCTTATAATAAGGACCGGAGGAGTACTACATTCGGTCCTAATTATAAGAGCTAGTTGACTAATCTGAGGAGATTAAGGAAAGAAGTTAAGTTAGTTATTTGTAATAAATAGGTGTTGTCTTTCTTAAAATATCCTTGCTAATAAATTGTATTGGCTAGAACTACTATTGTTAGAAAGACTACATTAGAAAAACAATGCATAAATATGAGAAACAAAGTATATTGGGGTCTTATATTTAGAACCAAAATAAAAATCAAACAAAGTCTTATATTAAGGACCGGAGGTAATAGATCTTATATTTATGACCAAAATTAACTTAACAATTAGATCTTATATTAAGTACAGGAGGAGTATTCAGCTAATACTAATAAGTTCTGTTTAGAAAGATCAAACTTCCTTTGCTGCCCTCAAGGGCCAAGACGTCTCTCACTTGACATAACAGGGAAATTATATAAAATAAAAATACAGATTCTGATTAGTCCATATTTGGGTAATCTAACTTGAACATTAAGACGGATCCTAATAATATCAGTGTATAATAATAATAATACAAAATCCATGCAAAGTTGATGTTTGCAAAATGTACAAATGAAAAGTGCAAAATAAATAGTAGAGTTTTCTGGGGGAAAAAAAAAATAGTGGAAGTTTTTAAATAAGAAAAATTGAAAGAGAATTATTAGGGTTGTAGATTGACGCGCAGCAACACACCATTGTAATGTTTTTTTTTTTTAAACATTTTAATTTTAAAATATTTAAAATATAAAATAAAAACACTGGAAAGCATTAACAATAACAAATTGGAGAGAATTGTGCGTTTCACCTACTAGTCCCCACCTATATTGGTAGTTCCATCAAATGGAAGCTACCAGTTGCCTAACTATGTAGCTCTTGGTTAAGAAGAATGGAAGACGTTGAAAATTTATTTTTTGCCAAGATCAAAAGTCAATTTTAATTTTTTTTATGTAAATATTTGATATATAATACGATTAACTAATATAAATTTAAACATTTTCTTCTTAATTTTATTTTTGTATAAAGGGTGAGGCAGAGCGGTACGGAGTGCACGATTTTAAATCAGATCTCTATCATTATTAAGTTTCACTTCTCTATGTTAGTCACTATAACTAATTTATCATAATAAAAACAAATAGTTAATTCATTAATATTTTAAGTCTGTCTCAAATTGAAACATTTTTTTTAACTTTATTCATATTAAATGAAATTGTGAAAGAGATATAGAAAGTTACAAAGAATCACATTGTAGTGTCTAATTACCTTTCAAGTGACTTATACTGCATACTAAGAAATTTTTATATACTTGTATTAAAAAAACAAACATTTTTATATAAGTGACTTATGCCAACCAAAGAAATTACGACCTTGTTTGTTTTTTTGTTTTGAAAATAGTTTTTTGTTTTCAAAAACCAAAAAAAAAAAAATTTGTTTGGCTATCTGTTTTTAGATAAGTGTTTTAACCCAACAAAAATGTTTTTAAAAACTAAAAAACAAAAATAATTTTTAGTTGTTTTCTTGTTTTTTGTCTTTACATTTTTTTTGTTTGAAAAAATTGAAAAATTCTTTGAGGATTTGAGTTCTCATTGAAACTTCCCTTTTTGCTCTGAGCATGTTTGTTTTCAAGTAATTTTTTAGAATAATTATTCAAACAAAGTTTTTTTTGTTTTGTTTTCAAAAACAATTTTATAAATAACAGGCCTGCATTACATTTCAGCATGTTCAATTTCTTTCATGTCCCACTCACCTATGCGAACCAATCACATTGTAGTGAAGGATCAATCATCAATATACAAATCAAGGCTATCCGTTGAGCATTAGTTTTTCCATGAACAGAGTTAGTATTTTACAAAACCACCTATTACTATAAAATAGCCCGTCGTAAAATTTTCCTTTTCAAGTATCCAAATGAGTGTTAACGTCAAAACATTGTCCTCAAGATTTTAGTAAGGCAACTCAAGGGTTTCACTCTTCCTTTTTCTTCACTGCAGAGGAACCAAATCCTCCCAAACTCAGAAAACGGTAAAATCAGAATACAGTAGACCAACAATTCAATAGAATCATCAAAGAGGAAAAAAATCAGCACGAGAAACTATGCGAAAACAAAAAGGTAACATGCTTAGATACAAACAAGGACCAACCCAAATAACTTTAAAAACAGAGATTCAAGTGAAGTAATCAGAATAGGTGTGAAAAAGATGTGTACTGGACACAACTGAGAGAAGAAATTAGTCTCACTCGTGTTACTTGTTAGTTCTAGATGAAGCTGAAACATCGATATGCACATGATCCAATCACCTTAAATTCATAGTTGGCTTCTTCTTCTTTTTCTTCTGCTGTTTTGCCAAAAGAAGAGAGAATCTGGCAAATCCAAATTTCTTCCTCTTTGCAGCAGATTGCTTCTGCACACTCTCTTCCTTGTCAACTTTTCCCCCACTATCTGGATCATCATCTTGTTTCCCAAGCATCTGACCCAGAGACACCTTTCGTTTCACTGAGCTTCTTCCCTCAACCACGCCAGCTTCATAGTCCTCAGGCACAAGCAGCTTCCTGCTCAGAATTTGTCCTATTGATAGGGTTGGCTTTAGAACTGGTTTGATTTCATCATTCACAAGATTCAATCCATTCACATCAAGTAACCGAGATTCTCTCCGGTAAGATGGGTACGCATTTTTGAACTTGGTGGAGTTCTGTATTGAGGACCGCCTTTTGTTACTGTCTGCTCTCCACTTCCTTAATGCCTCTTCAACAGCCAGCTTCCCTCTATTTGCAGCCTCCACCCTTTCCAGAGCTTCTTCCAGTGCTTTCTTGCTGGTTTTAACTTCCTCTGCAGCCTCCTCTACCTTTTTAAGGATATTCATTTTTAACATATTTGCTTCATCAACTTGAAGCATCGCATCCACGACTCTCTTCTGTGATTTTTCCTCAGCTTCTTGAGCTTTCGTCGTGAGATCATGATATTCTTCAAATGACAGAGTTACTCCATCCTGCTTTTGCATAGAATCTCCATTTGACATCCCATAATTTGATAAAGCATTAATTTCAGCTAGGGCCATTGCTTCTGCAGCTCGGGCAGCTTCTTTCATCTTTCGGGCTGCAACCAACCTGGTTTCAGCCGTCCTTATCATAGATTTTGTCTGTTCAATCTCAGACACCGTTCTCAAGACTTCTGCTTTTGCAGCTTCTCCCATTTTCTTGAAATTATCTGCCTCAGAACTCAACCGCTGGAGTTCACTGGCAACATCAAAAGGATCTTCAGCATCCTTTGTCAGTTGTAGTCTTACTTTCATCTGGTTTAATTCATCCTCAAGAGAAGATATCTTGGACGAATTATGAGTTAACCTCTCACGGGTTTTTTCAAGCGAGATTCTTTCCTTCTCCAACTTCTTATTGAGTGAGTCAACAGAAGCTCGAACATCAGCAAGATCAGTTGTAGTTCTTGCTAAATTTAACTTAGCTTGCTTTAGTTCCATCAATATCGAACCTGGGCTAGACGTAGGGAAGGGGCTCCCTTGGTTTCCTTATCATCTTTCTCCTTGCTGTCTATGGCTTTATCACAAACACTCGTCTCAAGGGCCAAATGCTTAACTTCAGATTCTTCCTTCTGCAACTTCAATCTCAAATCTTCCACACGCCTCTTCGTGCTTTCTAATTCTTTTAACACATCAAGAGTTTCCCTCTCTTTCAAAATCAGTTCTTTATGTAAAACATCTGTCTGCTCCTCTAGCTTCCCAGCATCAGCCTCTTCTGATGCACGCTGGCAAAAGGGGAAATTTTTTTACAATTTTACTCACTCCAAATCCAAATACTCCTCCGGTCCTTATTATAAGACCCAATTTGACTTTTTATTTGGTCCTAATTATAAGACCCAATCCATTTTGTATCTTATATTTATGCATTTTTTTTCCAAGATAATCCTTCTAATAATGATAGTTTTAGCCAATATACTTAATTAGCAAGGATATTTTAGGAATGACAACACTTATTTATTATAAATAACCAACTTAACTTACTTCCTTAATCTCCTCAAATAAGTCAATTGGGTCTTATAATTAGGACCGGAGGAGTACTTAGCAACGAAATGACTACAGAAATTACTCACAATGTGTTATAAGCAACTCGACACAACAAAATATACAGTACACTCTAACACAATTTTCAGTGGTGCGCCGTATCTGATGCACATTGAACACACGACAGACAAACAAACAGAACAAAATATATAGTAAACATCATGTTAGACACAATCAGATTCGGTATTCGAAATATACATGCATTTATTACCCAAAAAAAAAAAATCCCCAAGGGTAATTGCGTAGACAGTCATAAAGGCCTAACATTTTGAGCAATGTTAACTCGCGGGAAGCTATACTAGAACGAAGTAGGAAGCTCTGCCTCAATGGTGGAACTGATGCGTGCATGTGAATGAGTGAGTGAGAGAGGGGCAGAAAGACAGAGCGATAGTACCTGAACAAGGGAGAGAGTAGAGTGAGTGGGTTTCCAGTATCCAACACCGCCGAATCGGGTGACGGCCTCCTTCACCGATTCGAAGGGTGCCGATGTATCAATCTCGGCTCTGAAACAATCCTTCTTCTTGTTAGCATCGCCGGAGTCGGAAGCTCCGGCATTGTCCACTTCCATAGTAGCGACGACGAAACCAAACGGAGCCCTAGCTTTCCGGTGTGAAATTTGAACGAGGAAACGGAGAAGGAAGGAAAGGCAGAGAGACGACAATAATAAAAATGGCCTGGTTGTTGGGTGGAGTAGCACCAAGATATACGTTTGAAACTGGAATTCCTGAAATGCCCATGAAGTGGGGGAGAAATTACTGGGTGAAGCAAAGAAAATGGGAGGAGGCAGATTGCCCTCGGCGGAAAAGAAGTCCAGGTGATAGAGAAGTCATTATCAATAACATGCATTGATTTCGAAACTTTCGGGACTTTGTCGTGTCAATGCGGATATTCATGCGTGACTTTGCTCCTGTTTAGTGGAAAAGACACGACCCTTCACCCCACATTACGATGTCGTATTTACAAGGACATGGTATATTAAAGGCTTGTTTGGAGCTCCTTTTAAAAAGGACTCTTAAACAAGTTTATGTAAGTCGAGATAAAACTCTTCTGACATATTTATCTCGTATTCTGTAAATTACGTTTAAAAAATTATTTATAAGCCAATTCAAATAAGCCCTAAAAAGGCTCTGATGTGAATTTTGCCTCCTAAATAATTAATTTAGAGAAATTTAAAAAATTATTTAAGTCAGTTAATTATAACAACTGTTTGTGAATTTTTCAATACTACTATGTTTAATCATATACATTAAAAGTTTTTTTAAAAAAATTAAATTTTATATTAAAAATAAAAATAAGGAGTAGTATTTGTCGGGACATGAGGAGCGCAAATAATAAAAGGGAAAATGACAAAAAAAAGGACTGTTGAAATTGGAAATGACAAAATGGGCATGCAAATAACTGAAATGACCAAATGGGCATGGGGTATCAATCTGGAATTTTGTCAATTCGGTAGTAGAAAGACTAAAATGCCCTGAACCTCTCTGAAGTATATGAACCGGAAGAAAACAATAATATACCAGAAGAGAGAGAGAGCTGCGAAAATGAAGCTAGAGCAAGGGTCGAAATCTGGAAAGAGGGAAAAGGTAAGCAATTTTTCCGTTAAAACGCTAGTATCACCCGATTTCTTGACTCGTTTTTTGCTGCAATCTCGAATGGGGATGGGTCTGTGAGTGTAGAGGGTTGGATGAAGAATTTGACCAGGATGAGAGAGTGACGCGTCGGAAATGGAAAAAATGATGACAAACAGTAAGCATGAGGTGGTCAGTGTTGTTAAACTCATTAGTGAAGTTGTAAAATCCTATATTTAAGTTGTTAATGGAGTAAGTGGGTGTGTGTGTGTTTTTTGGGTGTTTCGAAAGATAAATGAAATTGATTATTGGGGAACTAAAATATTGATTTATGCTTCTTTGTTGCAGGTTAGCAGGCTTTGATGACATCTAACATTGGGTTTAACATTGAGGAGTAATTTTTTTAGTGTAAATAGAATAACTTTTGAACCCTTAATTTTTTTGGGAGAATAGCTGATAGAGAGGTTATCCTTTTTGTAAATGATGTTAACTGGGTAGGATATGTTTGTAATCTGAATGACAAGGAAACATTAGGTGGTGGTTTAATCTTAATGTTAACATGTCATTTGAATACAAGTTATGTAACTTCTGTCATAGGCGTACTGGTTTTGGTAATATCATCACTTCAGTAGTCAATTCCATTATACATGTAGTAAAGTCTGAATGTTAATACAAACATATTATGATGTTCTTCAGGTGTACTTGTATGCTATTTTGTCAACACATTTTACCATTTGCTTAATTCCTCCAAGGGAGATGGTGGAAGTTGCCAATGGGCATGACTGGAGTGGTTAATTTGATTACAAATGTTGTATGCACATTACAAATGTGTTATCATCATTATCAGGGTAGTGAGTGGCTATGGCATGTCATCTTACAAGCATGTGTGTGTGTTCATTACTGCTGGGGCTATTAATGCTTGAGGTTGCGGGATTCAAGTTTTGGAAATTTAGAAGCTGATATAATGGTGTTCAAAGACTGTTTAATGAATCTGAATTATATATTAGCATGTTCTGAAAGTGATAATAATTTACAGATTATATATTACTACTAGTTGAAATATTTTGAAGGTTAAAAGCTGATTCAATACTTGTAAAATGTTTGTATATATATGAGTATGTGGGCTATTGCTTGTGAATTGATGCTTGTGAATTAAAGTATCGAGGCATAAAACTGATTTTCCTTTCTTTCTTTTTTTAAAAAAATGTTGGTTTGAGGATTGAAGAGCTAGAGATTAAAAACTGATTTGAACATAATGATTTATGTCTCTAAGTGCTGAATTATGATTGTGCTGTTTGAATCAGATTGTTTTACAGCCTGTGAGCTCAAAGTAGGAGCTGAAAAATCAGTTTCAAGTTACTGAATTATGCATTGGTGTGGTGGCTAGTGAATCATGACCTTAATTCAAGACATGACAAAGCATTGAGCTTGTTTTCATCAAATGAAGCCACCACAGACCAAAAGACAGCATCTGTGATAGTAGTAAAGATTACATAAATTAAACATATAGTATTTGTGAAAGTAGTGTCCAGATATTATCAAAATACTTGACTTATGGTTGTAGGTTGTAAGTTATGATATTTGTTGGCTTAATTTAAATCTTTTTTGGAATAATTTCACTAAACAAGTAATGATAATTACAGCATGCATAATGAAAGTTGTAACTTCTGTCATGGTATTTGCAACTCAATTATTTGTACCCTAAATTACATCTATTTGAACCCAAATTTCACTACACACGTAATGGGATTAACAACATTCGTAATGAAAGTGACCACTTCCGTATTGTCATTTACAACTCGTTTTTTTTAAACCAAAGTAACATGCATTTGGAGCCAATTTCACTACTCCGATAATGATAATAACAACATTTGTAATATGAATTACAATTTTTGTAATAAGAGTTATCATCTCGCTATTGCCATTTGCAACTCGTTTATTTCAACCCAAGTAATATATATTTGGAGCTAATTTCATACTCTCGATAATGATAATAACAACATTTGTAATGTGAATTACAACTTTCGTAATGAGAGTTACAATTTCGCTATTGCCATTTGCAACTGGTTAATGTGAAAATGAATTTAACATGTATTTGGAGCCAATTTTACTACCCTGATAATGATAATATTTGTAACGTGAATTACAACTTTTGTAATAAGAGTTACTATTTCACTATTGCCATTTGTTAACTCATTTCTTTCAAATCCAAATAACATCTATTTTCAGCCAATTTACTACCCCGATAATGATAATAACAACATTTGTAATGTGAATAACAGCATTTGTAATCAAATTAATCCTCCGGTCATGTCCATTGGCAACTTGCACCATCTCCCTTGGAGGAATTAAGCAAATGGTAAAATGTGTTGACAAAATAGCATACAAGTACACCTGAAGAACATCATAATATGTTTGTATTAACATTCAGACTTTACTACATGTATAATGGAATTGACTACTGAAGTGATGATATTTACCAAAAACCAGTACGCCTATGACAGAAGTTACATAACTTGTATTCAAATGACAAGTTAACATTAAGATTAAACCACCACCTAATGTTTCCTTGTCATTCAGATTACAAACATATCCTACCCAGTTAACATCATTTACAAAAAGGATAACCTCTCTATCAGCTATTCTCCCAAAAAAATTAAGGGTTCAAAAGTTATTCTATTTACACTAAAAAAATACTCCTCAATGTTAAACCCAATGTTAGATGTCATCAAAGCCTGCTAACCTGCAACAAAGAAGCATAAATCAATATTTTAGTTCCCCAATAATCAATTTCATTTATCTTTCGAAATACCCAAAAAACACACACACACCCACTTACTCCATTAACAACTTAAATATAGGATTTTACAACTTCACTAATGAGTTTAACAACACTGACCACCTCATGCTTACTGTTTGTCATCATTTTCCATTTCCGACGCGTCACTCTCTCATCCTGGTCAAATTCTTCATCAAACCCTCTACACTCACAGACCCATCCCCATTCGAGATTGCACAGCAAAAAACGAGTCAAGAAATCGGGGTGATACTAGCGTTTTAACGGAAAAATTGCTTACCTTTTCCCTCTTTCCAGATTTGACCCTTGCTCTAGCTTCATTTTCGCAGCTCTCTCTCTCTTCTGGTATATTATTGTTTTCTTCCGGTTCATATACTTCAGAGAGGTTCAGGGCATTTTAGTCTTTCTACCGAATTGACAAAATTCCAGATTGATACCCCATGCCCATTTGGTCATTTCACTTATTTGCATGCCCATTTTGTCATTTCCAA